GCCAGGATGTTCTAGCCTGTGACTGAGTACCCGTTACACTATCTTCATCTGGTTGTCCAGCATAATTTGGGAATATCTCTTTTGCTAAGTAAGTTGATAAGGATGATACCATTGCTGAAATCCATTCTTCTCTGCAACTGTACCCTGTTAACATTGCTTCATCAACCAGTGGTTGCAATAATTCATCCATAGAGTCAACATAATCCCTGGTGGTCTTGTAGACTAGAGCAAATATGAATTCTGGCTTGTCAACCCATTTTGTGAAATGGCGTTGCGATGCTAATGATATAGGATTTACAAGCTCTTCAATCACCCAAAGTGGTTGGTGAAGAGCAAGTTCACGATTATAGCCGTCTAGTTGACGCGATTTTCTTCGTCTCTGCAACTCCTGGAGGCCGCACAAGGCTAAAAAGTTTTCACAGTACTGGTCTTTGAGGTCTCCTTGCATCGTGAAAAGAGGATTCAGAACTTCAGTTGATCTCCCTGTATCTGGAGTTGAGGAACTCAAAGTGGCAAGAGGCGGTGGCCATCCAAGGGAAGCAAGCAGGGCCCGGTGATCTGCTATAGCATGAGGTCTTAAAACAGCCAGAGCTCGATCTACTCTGTGATCAACTGCTGACACAAGATGTGCCCATTGAGGGCGTGTCTTTGTAACTGAAGTTAAAACATCTTCTATCAACTTAAGAGTTTTAATAGCACCCAGACGCATTTCCTGCCAAGAGAAAAAATGAGGACTTTGCAAAATAAATAGGATATAAGAAATTGTAATTACTAAATTACTTTGTTTTTGTGGGTACTTACTTCTGAATTCTGTCTTGCTGAATGTTTCCACGAGTTTTTCTTCATGGTAGAAGATACAGCATCTTCAATATCACCAATCATAGTTTGAAGCTTCAATGCAGTCTCTGAAGATAAAAATAAGGGACCAAAAAACTGTGAGAAAGTTTGATGTCGAATATACAGATAGTACTATGCTTCTCAGTAGTTAGTAATGCTAGGAAATAAAATGTAGTACAGGCATACAAAACACAGAAGACAGAGGCTAAGTGGCAAACGAACCCAATACACAGTATGGAGGAAGCACTTCAGAAGTTAAGGGACTACTTCATATTAACAAAAAATCTCTCCCAAATGTGAAAAACAAATTTGGCTGCATGATTTTGAAGAAGTCCAACAATTAATGTAACCATTACCAAGAACGCATTGACATTTCTACTAATTAAGGGGCCCGTTTGATAACTATTTCATTTTTAGTTTTTTTTTTGTACTAGAGATGGAGGAAAAAATAAAAGAGAAAAGTGAGGAACGGAAATAATGAAGGGAGGAGGGAGGAATGGAGATTATATGAAAACAAAAACTTGAAAGTCAAAACGAACGAGATGAAATTGTTTTCAGTTTTTTGGTTTTTAGTTTCATTTTGTGTCATTTCACACACATTTCTTCCACCACACCATCCTTCTTTCAAATTCCTTCATTCCTCGTTTCTCCCACATACCTTTCCTTCATCTATGGCACAAAAAGAATGAAATATTTATCAAACGTGCCCTAAGAAAGAGGATGGGAACCGGGATTCTCATGTTTAGTATCGAGCCATTGTAGTTTCGCAGAACAGATTCAGCTTCATGGTTCTACATTAGCAATCTGTTACTGCCTAAAATAATATGTGATCATACCACAAATAATTGAACCATCAATGTAGTATTTCATAATTGATCTTACTATTATCCAGGGATTGAAGAACAATCCTTCAGTTATACATTTCTGGTCTCGAGTCAAACAAAGGGAGCTAATTGTAAAACAACTATAATCTGAAAAATTAAAGCTTTTCAGATAAATCTAGTTTCATAAATTTATCAGTTCATTTTCCAATTTCAGTTCCATTGTGTCCCAAGAAACGCACCTGCGTATGTTCGAACCGACTCAACTCTCGCCACTTCCTTGGCCAACGCCGGTAGCTCCTCCCCCAATATCTGCTCCGCCCTCTCCTTTCCTTCTCCATCTAAAAACAAAAGTTATCCAAATTAGCGAAACAAAAAACGAAATTGAACCCGAAAATTGAAAATTGTAGTCAAAATTGCAGTCAGAATTGCCTGAACATCAATACCAGCACACACAAACCTGAAGTGCGAGAGCGGGTGGAGGATCCGAGACCCGTCAATTGGGCATTGATGCCGCCTAAGAGGCCGTGGACTCGATCGGAGAACGAAGCGTAAGTTAGAAGCGAGGATCCGAGGCTCCGATTCAGGTCGATTAGGGTTCGGTCCAGGTCGCCGCACTGGGCTTGGAGCTCCGACAGCAGAGTCGGAGCCCCGCTCAGATTTTCATTGGTCCGAAACTTGTCGTCGAGGAAGGAGACGACCGAGGGCGGGAGGTCGGATGCTGGAGGGAAGGTCTGGACCGCCGAGTCCATGGTGGTCTCAAGCCATTTGGGTCCGGTGGTGCGAGTGGGAAATTTGAATGGAACGCGAGGGTATTTTAGGGATTTTAACGGGAATTTCAGCGATCGGAAAGCTTTTTGCCTTGGTTGAGAGACGGAGACTGAAATTTGACTCCCACCAAATACCGTTATCAGTTGCGCAGGTCAATTCGTGGATTAAATTGTTGTTGGGCTTGGGCTTTAGTAAATCGTGTTAATGGGCTTCAAATGGGGCAACTATAGTTTTGTTTTTGGAAGAAGGTTATGTTCTACTCTTCGCCTACCCACCTTGGGGAAAATATAGGCTCCGACCATCGGTCCACATCATATGTCCGATCATAGATAATCCTTACTATAATCGATTATTTGTACAGATCTGCTGAAATAAGGTCGATATCCGCATTAGAATTAACCTATTGTACTGAGTGAGGACAACCTATGAGATGGTTCTCACAAAAAATGGGATCTCATGTACTTGCTCAATTTCATGCTAAACCAACACCTTCTAAACTACATGCCACACAAAATAATTACTTTGACTTCGTTATTGGTGCCTGGTATATAGGGCAAGTCAGTAAGACATCAAAGTGGAGAGATTTTTCAATGTGTCAGGAACACAGCCCGGTACACTAAGTGTAATAATATAATTGGTTGAGAACTGAAAAGAAAAAAAAATCAATCAATTGTATTATGTACATAGTGTATCAAACCGTGTTCCCAACACACTTAAAATATCTCGTCAAATTGGAGCTAGATTAACCACAAAGCAAAGATTAAGGGTGTTTATGAGACAGTGGGTGGATCAAAGAAGGGAAGTTTTGTTGTTAAGAATTTTTCAACTCACAATCTTTCATTCAATCATTGTACGTTGGGCTTTACTAAACATTGTTAATGGACTTAAATAGGCCGACTACATTGGGGTTGGACTAAACTATAGTTGCGCTTACTTTTTATTCTTCGCATAAATTCTACAGCCTAACTGCCGAATCACATCACCCTTCTGACCCCTTTCAAAAGAGTTGAATCTTTGTATTAGGCCCATACAACCCCAAGTTGATCTTGCAATGTTGAGTTTGCTTCCTTGCCGCACGCAAGAACACTCGCAAATGAGTATTGAAGTTTTTTATGTGATTTTATGGAGAAACATTTCCCTTGTGCTTCTCCCTATAAATGATTCTGGTCATTCCAGAAACACTTCTAAACGAGCCCTCAATCTATCGAAACAAAAGAAAAAAATATGTGTGAGGATGTTTAAGATAAACATTATCCCAATCTTGGATTGCCTTCCTTTTTATGTATAGTGCTAATAAACCGACCTAAACGCACCTAAATTTTGTCCACAATTTTAGGCTTTTACATTTTGGACCACTTAAAACATGTTAAAGAAGCATGAGAGTCTAAAACACTTTTAAAATAGTGTGCTATAAGCATGAAAATCCCTTACTTTGGTAAGCAAGCACCTTAGGATGTGTTTGTTGTACTAGATTATCTCGGACTGGACTAACTTCAGGGACTAAGTTGGACTGGCTTAGACTAGACTAAGTTGGACTGACTTAGTGAAGCGTTTAGTGCAGTGTCGGACTAAAAAATAGGATAACAACAAATTCTTGTTGTAAATAGTGGGTATGTTTGCCCACATGTATACATTAAAGATTCATATGCTAAATAGTGAAGTTTTGTAAGTTTTCAAGGTAATTGCTCTATAAATAGAGCACTACGAGTGTTCAAAACACGCAAATACAAAAAGCAATAAGAGAATAAGGATAAGTTAGAATATTTTCTACATTCTCTTATTTCTCTTTTACCTGCAATCATTCTGTTTTAGTTAATAAACAAAATAGTGTGATATATTACATCTGTTTTGCTCTCGCTCTTAGCAAAGATTATTTCTCTAACTTTTGCCTTTTATAACACGTTATCAGCATGAATCTCTAACCATAAAACATTTTTCATTTCTCTTCGCCGAAAGAAAAAAAAAATTTCCTTCAAGGATTTTACTGTTCTTCTTCTTCCTCTGCCTCACCTGCTGGATATACCCTCGTGAAGAATTGTTCGCACCATGCCTGCTTTTAGTTCTCAACATAACAGTTACTTATATCTTTGATTTCTTGTTTGGTGCAGTTCCTAATTTCTAACCCAATGTTTATTTATCTTTGCTGCGATCAAAGATGGTGCGGTATCATCGCCCATCTTGGACTGCAGATTTAATTTGACTGTAAATTTTAGGTGGAGCGGTATAATCGCCCACCCTACCCTGCATATTTAAATTTGCATGCTATTTAATTTTATTGCAATTTTAGGTGGTGTGGTATAATCACCCACCCTGCTCTGCATATTTAAATTTCTACTGCTTGAGTGGTATGGAATAATCGCCCATTATATGATATTCAATGAGAATGGTGCAGTAGAATCGCCCTCCTCATTCATCGTGTAAATCTCGAGCCTGAAGTTTCGAGTGCTTATCATTTTGGCCTGAAGATCAAAATGAAAAATTTGTAAGAACCAGAAGTTTTAACAATACATTCCTCCAGAATACACATTATTGCAAGTTCTTACACACCTCATTTTTCTTTCAGAAAAGAAAATGGCAAACTTGGTAAAGCTTGATTTTGTTACCCTGAATATTACTGGGAAGAATTCCCTTACCTGGGTAATGGATGCCAAGATTCATCTGGAGGCAGCGAATCTTGGAGAAACTATTAAAAAGGATAACAGTGCATCATCTCAAGATCGGGCAAAGGCCATGATCTTTATCAGTCGCCACCTTGATAAGGGACTGAAGAGCGAGTACCTCATGGTTGAAGATCCATTAACCCTCTAGAAGGCACTGAAAAATAGATACAATCACCAGAAAACGGTGAATCTTCCGATGGCTCGTTATGAGTAGACTCACCTAAAGATCCAGGATTTTAAGATGGTGGCTGAGTACAATTCTGCTATGTTTAGAATTACCTCCCAATTGAAGCTCTGTGGAGAAACCATTACTGAGGAAGACATGCTGGAAAAGACTTTCAACACTTTTCATGTCTCCAATGTGCTCATACAGCATCAGTATAGAGAGCGAGGTTTTACTCAGTATAACCAGTTGATATCTGTGCTCCTTGTAGCTGAGCAAAACAATGAGCTTCTGATGAAGAATCATCAGTCCCGGCTTACTGGATCAGTATCATTCCCAGAAGTGAATGATGCTTCCCTTAAAGGGAATACCATATCATCTCATGGCAATAATTATAAACGAGGACGTGGCCACAAGCGAGGCCAAAAAGGCAAGAACCATGGTGTCCAGTTCAGGTTCTAAGGCATAATATAGGCCCGAGCTTTAAAAATGGAAATTGTCAAGAAGGCAAAGCTCATATGAACACTCCTAAAAATTCTGAAGGAGTTTGCCATAGGTGGTATGGTGGCAATGGGCACTGGGCACGTATGTGTCGTACCCTAAAACATCTGGTGGATCTGTAATAAGCATCATTCAAGGAGAAGGGTGTTGAGACCAATTTCCTCGACCAGGCTAAACCAATGGATACACCTGATCCAATGTTAGATTTATCAGGACAATTGAACACAACCCACCTGGATGTTTCAGACTTCATTATTGAAAGAGGGAATGAAGTGTTTGGGTTCGATTAAATCATTTATGTTTGATATACTCTTGTTATTTGCACTTGTGATTTAATGCTTGCACTTTCAATTCAATAAAAGTAGTATTCCAGTATGAATAAATTGCTTTTAACTGTAATTTCCATTACTCAAATAGCATGGATAAAAATTATGGTTATTCTCAAAACAAGAGTAATGACGGAGATTTTTGTCTTGCAGACAGCGCAACTACGCATACAATACTTCGAGATCGAAAGTATTTCTCGAACTTGATGCTTGCAAAAGTAAAGGTAACAACAATATCAGGGCAATCAGATGTTATTGAAGGCTCATGAAAAGCCTAAATCATGTTACCAAATGGAACAATATTGTTCATACAAAATGCGTTGTACGCTACTCGATCCACTCGAAATTTGTTGAGTTTTAAAGACATACATCTAAATGGAAACCACATTGAAACGAAAAAGTGCAGAAAATGTGGAATATCTATGCATTACCTCCAATGATACCCCGAAGTGTATATTAGAGAAGTTGTGTGGTTTATCGAGTGGATTGTATTATACATACATAAAGACAATTGAGGCATATACTGCCAAGAACCAAAAGTTCATTGATTCAAAAGTTTATATGTGTTGGCATGACCATCTGGGTTATCCAGGATCTACCATGATACGTAGAATCATTACCAACTCTAATAGACATCCATTATTGAGCAGACACATTGATGTCTCAAATGATAACCCTCACAAGGCTTGTTCCCAAGGGAAGTTGGTAATTAAACCATCACAACTAAAGGTTGATGTTGAATCCCTATCATTTTTGCAAGGAATTCAAGGGGATATGTGTGGGCCTATTTAACCACCTTGTGAACTATTTCGATATTTTATGGTTTTAGTTGATGCATCTACCCGATGGTCACATGTTTGCCTATTGTCTACTCGAAATATAGCGTTTGCAAGATTACTTGCTTAGATAATTAAGTTGCGAGCACAATTCCCAAATTATCCGATTAAGTCAATCCGACTTAATAACGCCGGTGAATTTACATCTCAAACATTTGATGATTACTGCATGACACTGGGCATTAATGTTGAACACTTTGTTCCTCATGTCCATACTCAAAATGGCTTAGTAGAGGCATTTATCAAGCGGCTTTAATTAATAGCTCGCACTTTACTCATGAAAACAAAATAGCCAGTTTCTGCATGGGGACATGCCATCTTACATGCTGCATCATTGGTTCGATTAAGACACATAGCCAACCACAAATACTCATCAATATAACTCGTGTTTGTGCATCAGCCAAACATTTCACATTTATGAGTTTTTGGTTGTGCTGTTTATGTGCCTATTGCACCGCCACAACGCACTAAAATGGGACCTCAGTGCAGACTGGGAATTTATGTGGGTTTTGATTTACCATCTATCATTAGATATTTGGAACCCTTAACATGTGATATGTTTACAGCTCGTTTTGCTGATTGTCACTTTGATGAGACAGTCTTCCCGTCGTTAGAGGGAGAAATGACCATTCCAGAAAAACGGCAAGAGCTAACATGGGTTGTTTCCACCTTATCTCATTTTGATCCAATGTGAAGATGAAGTGAAAAGAATTGTTCATCTTCAAAGTATTGCTAATCAAATGCCAGATGCATTTAATGATGCTTCGAAAGTGACAAAGTCACATATATCAGATGCAAATGCACCTGTAAGAATTGATGTCCCTGTTGGACAAAATAAAGTGGTAACGAATTATTCATCTGGTGCACGCCTGAAACGTGGTAGACCACCAAGTTCAAAAGATTCAACCCCTCAAAAGAGAAAGATGTGGGCATAGCTGAATCCAAATGAAATCATTCAGGAAAAGAAAGCGAATGATAAATCCACAATTCATGATTCTAAATTTTCTAAAAAAAAAAAAGAAAATATCCTTGATGAGACACATGTCCCTGAAGAGACAGAAGTACATGAACGCAAATAAATCTCCATAAATTATGCATGTACTAATGAATTGTGATCAAAATGAAGTGATCATCAACAATATGTTTGCTTTCGCAGTAGCCATTGAAATCATATTCAGCAATGACATTGAGCCTCGCTCTGTTGATGAATGCAAACAAAGACATGATTTGCCTATATGGAAAGATGCAATCCAGGCAGAATTAAATTCCTTGGAAAAACGAAGTGTTTTTAGACCAGTAGTCCAAACCCCGCCTGGTGTGAACCCCGTAGGTTACAAATGGGTATTCACAAGGAAATACAACGAGAAAATTGCAAGATATAAAGCAAAACTCGTTGCACAAGGTTTTTCATAAAGATCTGGAATTGATTATGAAGAGACACACTCTTCTGTAATAGATGCAATTACGTTCCGTTACTTAATAAGTTTAGTGGTTTCAGAGAAACTTGATATAAGACTTATGGATGTCATCACTGCGTATCTATATGGAGAATTAAATACTGACATATATATATGAAAGTCCCAAAAGGACTTAAGTTGCATGAAACAACTAACAAACAACAAGGTATGTTCTTAATCAAATTAAGGCGATCATTATATGGGCTGAAACAATCTGGGCGAATGTGGTATAATCGTCTCAATGAGTATTTGATCAAAGAAGGATATGCTAACAATGTCATCTGCCCTTGTGTGTTCATTAAGAAATCAAATATTGGTTTCGTTATAGTGGCAGTATATGTTGATAATATGAACCTAGTTGGAACCCTTGAAGAGCTCAATAGAACTGCTGAGTATCTGAAAAGCAAATCTGAAATGAAAGACCTTGGGAAAACAAAATATTGTCTCCGCCTGCAGATCGAGTATTGTGCTAATGGAATTTTGGTCCATCAATCAGCTTGCATTGAAAAAATACTGAAGCGATTTGGCATGGATAAGGCTTATCCACTTAGCACCCTAATGGTCGTTTGTTCTTTAGACATTAAGAAAGATCCATTCCGTCCAAAAGAAAATGATGAATTGGTCCTTGTCCAGAAGTACCATATTTGAGTGCAATAGGTGCTTTATTGTATTTAGCATAATGTACTAGACCAGATATAGCTTTTTCAGTAAATTTGTTAGCCAGATAAAGCTCTGTTCCAACAATTGGTCATTGGAAGGGAGTTAAAGATGTTCTTCGATACATTCGTGGGACAACAGACATGGGTCTCTTCTACTCAGACAAGTCCACAAATGACCAGATCCTTGTTGGATATGCAAATGTTGGTTTTTCTCTTCGATCAGCATAAAGCCTGCTCACAAACTGGATATGTGTTCATTAATGGAGATACAACAATTTATGGCACTCAACGAAGCAAACATTAGTTGCTACATCTTCCAATCACTAGGAAATAATTGCTTTACATGAAGTAAGTCGTGAATGTTATTGGTTAAAATCAATGATCCATCACATCCGGAATTCATGTGGTCTACCTTCAAAGACAGACACTTCAATTGTCATCCATGAAGATAATGCAGCCTATGTTGCCCAGATGAAGGAAGCATTCATCAAGGGTGATAAGACTAAACACATATCTTCAAGGTTTTTCAGTGCATATGAGCTTCAAAAGGCTAAAGTTATTGAAGTCAAACAAATCCGTTCTAATAAAAATTTGGTAGACTTGTTCACCGAATCTCTACCAAAGTACACATTTCAGAAGTTAATGCAGGGAATCAGATTACGTTGGCTTACAAATTTGAAGAATGCGGAATCAAGGGAAGATACAATTCAGGGGGAGTACATGCATGTTGTACTCTTTTTCCTTTGATTAGGATTTTTCCCACTGGGTTTTTCCTATCAAGGTTTTAACGAGGCAACATAAGCATGCTTAACACCATATCAACAATCTGGGTAAAATTGTACTCTTTTTCCTTCGCTATGGTTTTTTCCCACTAAATTTTTCCAAGCAAGGTTTTAACGAGGCAATTGATGTTGATATATGGGCATCCAAGGGGGAGTGTTGTAAACAGTGGGTATGTTTGCCCACATGTATACAGTAAAGATTCATATGCTAAATAGTGAAGTTTTTGTAAGTTTTCAAGGTAGTTGCTCTATAAATAGAGCACTACGAGTGTTCAAAACACGCGGATAGAAAAAGCAATAAGAGAAGAAAGATAAGTTATAATATTTTCTACACTCTCCTATTTATCTTTTACCTGTAATTATTTTGTTATAATTAATAAACAAAACAGTTTGATATATTACATCCGCTTCGCTCTCGCTCTTAGCAAAGGTTATTTCTCTAACTTTTGCCTATTTTTAACAATTCTAATATTATATTTTTTTTCTTTCATATTTTATTAATATTTTATTACTACCACTGTCTATTTCTTTTTTCATTCTGGAAACCTCCCATCTTCATTCCTAATTTTTTTTTTCCTCTGATCTTCCTTTTTCTTCCTAATTTTGCTCTGACCCTCTCCCTCTCTTGTCTTTTTCTTTTCCTTTCCACTCTCTCCTCCCTCAAAACAGCGTCATTCATCACCCCACTTTTGTTCTCTCTTTTTTTCCCTTTCCTATTCTTTGATGTTGTGATTCCTCTAAATTATTTATGGCACCACAGATTTTGATTTCCCAACTTCAAATCCCACAGAAAATTGAAATCGTGCAGAGGCTACTCTCTGCAGCGCCATGGATTTCACAACCACTATGTTTCTCGCTCCTCCTTTGATTTTCTCATAAAATCTCTTAATTTTCTGGGAAAAATGAAAAAAAATTCTATTGAGTTTGTTGTTGTTATCGAATTGATTTTTTTTTCATTTTGGTGGTTGGATGTTGAGAATTAGGCGGTGGGTTTTAGACATGGGTATAGGTGGCCAGAGTTGCAGAGAAGCAGACGACTTGCAGCGTGAAGACGATGCAACATGCAAACTTTGTACGCAGCTTTAGAGACGGGATTAGCAATCCCATATGTTTCGGGTGGCCTAGCTAAGAACTGGTAGTGAAGGACTTAGTCGGCACAAGTACGACTTAGTCCCATTAAACTTAATCCTTGTTCCAACCAAACACGGATTAGAAATCTCAGCTAAGCCAATCTAGTCCAATGGAGCTTAGTGAGGGCAAACAAACACCCCCTTAGTGTCTTTATGAGTGGAGAATAATCTCGAACACGGGGCCTCAAACGTAATACCGCTGTTCTTAATTGAGTACTAAAATTGAATTTGTTTTTATTGTTTGATATGGTGTTGGAAGGAATCTGTATTTAGAATCACATTGCCAAAACGTTACGTGATAAGGTTGAAACATGAAGAATTGACATTTTGGGGAGTCAAATTTTGGATAAACCCTTTCTTTCTTGCTTTATGAATGCCCTTTTTTGAACTTTCCATTTTCAATCAATCCATTTGGATAGCGCCAAAGGAAAGACAATCACTTCTATTCACTCCGGACGAATGCGACAGTAACTCAACCAGATAGGTCAAATTAATTTTAACGAAACATGATACACAAGACATCGAGTTCGAAATGCAGAATTCCGCGAGAATTGCTACAAAATATCAGTAAAAACTTCAGAACTCTCCAACTTTACTTTTTACTGCTCAAAAGGGTAGCCTTTTTTCATTAATCTCAAAAAGTTAAGGTTGCTGTTTTCCTTTTAGGTGATTTGGAAACCATCTTATCCAAAAACAGCTCCATGGAATTTGCTGACATCATTAAACTATGCTGACAGAAAGTAAAAAAGTAAAAGAATTTCACAGCCGCACGAGGAAAAAAAAAAAACAAAGTAAAAGTGGGATTTGAAGTCCTAGTTCAACAGCAGCAGACACGGAGATCAACGACGCACGAGCCGCCACATCAGCAGCTGAATAGGTGAGAGATTTTTCAGTGTCACAAGTACACGAGATGCTACATCACGTGTCACTATACAAATTGTGGAATATGTGTGCTAAAATTTTAATAACTTAAAAAATAAAATTTTCTACTACACTTATTAAAATACGTAATGTACTACTTGTATTACCGTCATAATTAAAATTTTCTCTTAAAAAGGGGTTGATGGGGTGGGGACCACGTGCGTAAACCAGAGAGCAGAGTCCACATTTAGCAGTCTTTGCACAAAATAAGGTACGATTTTTTGTACCTTTATTTATCTTTATGTTTTAATTTCTCTGGTGGATTATGATTGGCTGCCAACAGAGATTTATTCATTTTTTTGGTGCAGTAAAAGTACGTCCTGCTGCAGTGCGAGCCAGTACATTTGGTCAATAAAGTCATAAAAAAGGACAATTCAAGTTTTTTTTTTTGGCTGTAAGATGATGAAGTACAAGAATATTATGATTTTATGCGGTACTTAAAAATAAATAATATTCTTATGTGTTTTTAGAAATTTAACGGTTAAAATATCTAAAATATTCTGCGCAGTGTTCTAAATTTTTTTGAGAAGTATAACCATGTGGTCAATAAGATAAAAAAATGAAAAATTCAAGAAGAAAGAGAGGGAATATTGGCTGCCTCATCAATGGCTGCTGAATGATATCTAAGTACTAGATTTTTGCTATAATTTTAAAATAACCCATAAAATTTTTGAAAACATAAATACATTCTGGTGTATGTTAAGATTTAGTGGTTAAAAATCTTAATTAGAATACTTTCAAAGCATACTAGAAAGTGAAAATTGTATCAATGATATCTTTACATTAATCCAATTTGAGTAATGGTCCATCAACTAAAAATTGTGATCATTGATCCCTTAACTCATCAAAATGTGCAGTTACAGTCTTTTTCGTCAACTCCGTCAAAAGGTCTATCAAATGAGTCATGGTGGAAGGACTATTGCTATAATTGGTTTAAAGATGAGGGACCCCATTGCTACAATATTCTCATTTGATTTTCCATATTTGCCTCTCAATTCAGCCTTATATGTGTGACACATGACTCATTTCGATGGAAATTCTAAGGGGAGTTGACAAAAATAACCATAGTTTTACGTTTTAATGAATTAAGAGACCAATTGTCACATATTTTTAGTTGATGATCATTACTCTAATTGGATTAAAGTTGAAAGACATTTGCTACAATTTTCTCTACAAGAAACGAAAAATGATGGTCACACCAATTTTCTCCTTCTACATGCACATGTTTAATTATGTCCGTTATTGTCGTTTGATTTATTCATTGTAATACGAAAAAATAAAGAGAAATGTATAAAAGACTAAAAAGAATGAAAATAAACTCCCACTATAAAATCACTTCAAAATTCAACGGTAAGTGACCATGAATCTCTTTGGCAACCAAAAAAACGGAACTTTCGTTTTCTATATTGATCTCTGTTTCTCTTTTGCTCTACACTATAACACACGATTTTTTTCGGTTCGAACATTCGTAGGAGGCACAAGCTCAAGGAGGTATGAACCGGAATGAGACCAAAATACACAGGGTTAGGGTGTTTTGCATGTGCAATTAGAAAAATCTGAGATTGCCAAAACAAACAGAGATTACAGATATGGTATTTCACCAACTTTTTTCTTTCCCTAAACAAACAGAGAAAGAGAGTGCCAAATTTCCTAATAAGCCTCGAAACACTTTCTTCGATCGCCATTTTAATCACCGGCAAGAAAGGAAAGAACAAGACCCTGTAAACACGAAGAAACATCGGTCACAAAATCCGTTCCCCCGAGTCAAAAACAACCAGGTTTCATGCATGAGAGTTTTCCAGAGCAACCACTATCATAGCTAAATAACACAAGTCTATGAAATGCATGCTTATAGCTAAAGAACACATGTCTAAGAAGATACATGTATCTGTCAATGCCTGTGACGTATGAGTTAATAGCAACGAATGTCGCTTACCACAGCATTCCTGGAAACATTCATGTAACCAAACATTGCAAACACCTCATCAGCAATTTTCAATGCGAAAGCGGTTGCTTGCATCAGCTCTCACTCAATTTGAGTTTCTGAATTTATGATTTCAGAAGCATCAGTTTTGTAGTGTACATTCGTTGAATCGAGCAACATCTTCAATTGCGAAAACAGAAGAGAAATCCAAGCTTCCAACTCATTTCCTTGTCTTCAAGTTCATCAAGGAAAGAAACTTAAAACTTTACCAAATCGATACACAACCCATATATGTTGTCACAATTGTATAGAAGCTAATTCACGGAAGCAATACGTCATCATCTTTTGAAAAGAAAAGGAAGCGAAAAAAAAACCCTAAATATACACTGATGCAATGGCAGACAGCTCAAATACGAAACCTAAGAGCCTATGACTAACCTGATAAAAATGACTTTCACATCGATTACAAAACAGCGAACGTTAACCAAACAGTAATGCAGTCCTCATAAAGGATCATGCTGCGGCAAATAATGGGCGCGACAAGAAAATGGGCATGCTTATTATGACAATGAAATCGACGTAGAGATTGATATGGTAAGCACTAAAATGACTTTAGATGGAATGCAATGCAGAAGCGTTTAGAAAACGTAAGGGAAAATAGCATGACAAGAAAGAGGAAAACCTGATGTACAAGTCTCACCTGTGGTCGAAAAACCATCTAACTTGATCTGAGCTCGTTGCAGACAAAACTGAAGTAAATTTCACCGTGCAATTGCTTTCAGGATTTAGTTCTCTGAGAACAAGAGTCATCTATGAGGCTTATAAATCATTATTCCTGCTTCAAAAATGCCATGAGGCCTTGAAAATAATGCCAGGATTTCATTAGATGCACACTCAATGAGCAAAGGCATCGTCAATGGAGTCCTGTGTTCACTTCGGCTCATGGCGATTCCAACTTGATAAACCAGATCCAAAAGATGGATTTAGTTTAACTTGTAATGACCAACCACATTTACTACATAACATATGCATATATATTTGCATCAAACCATATTGTTCTCATTTAAGTATCTCTCCACGTTGTTCATATAATTTGATCAACATGGAAAGGCTAATCATCTATGTCAAGAAAATAATACATAAAAGTTACTTTCTGGACAAATATACAAGCCTACCGAAGTTTTCCACAAAGAATTCAACTTTAGCAATGAAACTGAGCAACCAAAGTGTTGTAAACATTTAACTTCAAAATTTCCATTACAAAAAGATAGAAAGAAAGAAATCAAGTTCACAAGAAAAAGAAGAGGGGTAATTCAAATTAAAGTTCTTCATACGGATCGAAAGAAGTTCCTCCAACCTACATTATAGTTTAGGGTCCATTCGGATTGGGCAACAGCAGTGAGTGAAAACATATAGAAGGAACATAAGAATATAATCTATATCAGAAACGGAAGTCATTCCTTTTTCTGTCCTCCAAAATGGGAGGGGAAAAGAGGCTTTGGAAATATAAGCTTAGGAAATAAACGAAATGCAAAATTTGAACCATTACACAATTCTGCAATTTTTCAATAAAACTTATGAAAACAGTCATAAAAACCTAAAACATGTACCAGTACTTCAGTTTATTCACCTTTTTCTGTTCTACATGATGCCAACCTTTCCGAAAACTCTAAAAGTTACCAAAGGGAAAAAGAAAAAAAAAAGATGAGACACAATAAAGTTTAAAAGATTAAAAAGGAAAATAACTCTTCAGGCCTTCTTCTGTGAATGTATCTATGACTCTAAATTAAAACCTGAATTTCCCCAAAAAGGAGGGTCGAGATTACCATTTCCTTGAAAACTGAAGATTGCAAATTCTACCCAGGATTCCATGCAGCGTAGACGGTGCCACTGAAACCGGACGCCTCAGCCCTCAGCATCCCATCACCGCACAATTATACACAAAGCTGCCAGAAGGTTTTCTAGCAAGCAGGTTCCACTGTGGTGGGCCTCCATCAGGGACCCAAGAATTAAGTTCAATTGTCCCTCCGCCTAAGGCCCTAGGTCCACCAATTACAATTAACCGATCTCCACATGCCCTAAATGCTATTCCCCAACCATTCATCGAGGCTGCACGCTCAGGCAAACTCCCAACAGTGATCCACATGTTCCTCTCCTTATCATATCTCCTAACCTCCTGTTCTGCATAATCTGCAGCATACAATATGTTATTTACAACTGCCAAAAGAGGAGGTGCCGCAGCTGCAGCAGGTGCCTCAGGTGCCCCAGCGTTTCTTCCAGGGAACATGTTAGGTATCTCAGTCCAAGTCCCCTTCCCCAAATCGTACACCTCTCCACACGTAAGTTGCTTTTGGTCGCCCACTCCTATCCCACCAATGACATAAAACTTCCCATCCATAAATACCCCAGAGCACATTTTTCTAGGTTTATTCATGCTAGGAAGAGTCAGCCAAGTTCCTGTTTCGGAATTATAAAGTTCAGCAGAGTTCAAGATATTGCCACGTGGATCGCAACCACCTGCGAGAATTGCAATTTCCCCACGGCTTGCAGAACCGAACAAGCATCTAGGTGTATTCATCTCAGTGCCCGATGACCATGTGTTGGTCAAAATGCTGTATCTATAAACAACATGGGACGTTATTTCCTTTCCAAAAACAAGAAGTTCCGTACCAACGGCTAACGACTCCTTGTCTGAACACATGAAACACTCGTTTGACGCCATTCTAGGTAAATGCATCCAACGTCGGAGATCTGGATCAAATGCCTCCCATTCCAGGAGGCTGCAAGAGAAGTAAACCCAATGTTCAACAATGCCCACTTTCCGCCTCAGTGTGTACAGCTCCCCACTCCGAATCAGAGAGCGGAAGTTCTTATTCAGCGAGGCAATAGAGCCATAATCAGACCTCGAGCAGCGAAGGAGACAGTTGATTGAGATATCCCGGCCAAGTTGGTGGATCAGTGAACTTGAATCAGAATTGCCACCTCCCTGATGCCCGTCATTTGACTGGTCCTTGGCAGGGGGAAGACCATTCAGATCCATAATCACATCCCCTCCCAGAAGAGCATCCGATAGCTTGCATACCTTCCTCAATGTGATTTCATCATCGTCTTCAATGGGGCGCTTATTGTTTGAGAGCTCCATAACACGGTGAGTATTGTAAATCCATTTGCTCTCTTGCTCACAAGAGCTGGGCAACTCCCTTGACACAAGATAGGAAGGACCTTCCAACATCTTGTTGGAATTCTCCAACTCGACCGGTGGTGAAGAAACCCTTCCTTTGGTATCCATCAAAACAAAATCAATGATGAGTATACAAAACGAAATTCATACGCCTTAATTACTCCCACATGCAAACCAATAATCTGCCAAACACAGATCATCCTCAAATTAACTCATGATACACAAATAACGATTTCACATATCAAAAAACACACAGCATAACAGATAAATCAAAATTCCAGTACTTATATAACATGTTCATGTGTGGGGGGCGCTAATACAAATCCCAGAAAAAAACCGCCCGAAATCCGAATTTCCCATACAGAGAACCACATGCAACAATGCATTTCGGATCAAGGGCATATCCATATTAATCAAAAAATCCTCACTCATCCATTTCAAGTAAAACAGCTGAAAATTCAAGTAAGAAATAAAAAACTTGCATGCACAAATCCAATCCGTTCCCATAGATAAAATTTACCCAATTAAGATCTTATGGTTCGGATTCCTGAATGGAAAAAGTACAGAAAAAGAAAAACGAAAACACAATCAATTGAAAACCGATTAATCCACTTCCCACCCAGCAATCAGAACGTTAATGCAGCAGCTAAATCCAACCACAAAGAACGTTTCTTTCACGAAAGTAAATTCACAGAGAGATCCATTTCAAATTTCCCATCAACATCCAAGAACCCATTTGCTCTTTTCATTTTTTAACCACCTGGAACTCATCAAATCATGCAGCTCGTCCCCAAAAAAAAAGCAAAAACCATGGCAAAAAATGAACAGAAAGCTTCAGAAAACCAAGAACGCAGAGCAAAAAAAAGCTTACGAATTTGATGAGAAGAAGACGGTGCGTTCTGCCCCACCTGCTCTTCTTCTTCTTCCTCCTCCTCCTCCTCCTCCTCCTTCTCTCTCTAGCTCTAGATTCTCTCTCTTTTGCTTCTGGTTATATTCGCTGTGTGGGAGAGTAATGTATTAAATAATGCATATATATAAAGGGTGAGAAAATAATATTTTAATTCAATTTTTTTTAATTATTTTTTTACAGAAAAGAAAAGAGGCTGGTGTGGGACCCGCAACGGGGTATTGAGTCGCCGTTTGGGATTGCGGCCAAGAGGTACCGAAACTGGTAACGGCCGTTTCCCACGTGTTAGAAACCCGGGTGGGCCCCGTCCGAGTAAATAAACGACAAATCCACGCTGCGTTGTAAGGCGCATTTGGTGACTGCAATTGTTGTTTTTTGTGAAATTATATTTTTTATCCTTTTTTTTCTTTTTTTTAAGCTCTTTTTTTTTTCTGGATTTCTTCTTTTCCTTTATGGAATGCATCCCTCGATTTTATTGCTTGCTTGGTTGTGTTTTGAATGAGTTTTGACTCCTTGGGGATACAGATCCGTTTCATTTTCTGAAAAAAGGATAAAGATAATTTCAATGCCATGCAAGAAAGACCAAATACTTTAACGTTCACGAAATTCAGAATTCTAGATTAGCATGACCACTAAATATTATTAATGTTCATAATGGTTTGTCGATAAGGTCATGAAAAGTATTTAGGAGGAGTGTCTGGTGTGGTTTTGCGCTAAGATGATCAACTCTTGGAACGTTGAATACTTCATCAGTACCGACATAAACTGTTAATGTTTAGAATAGTTCATCAGTGCAATTCTGATGTGTTCTGTAAGAGATTTTAATTTAAGAACGTGCGATCAAACTTTGAAACTGTGAATGCTTCATTATAATATTAATATATATTCAGCATCTGTTATTGAGTATACAATTAGCTCCGATAGCTATTTTACGTAAAATGCATGCATAGTTTTTTTTTTTTTTTGTCATTTCATCGTACGTATGTATATTTTTTATTTATCGTGGAAGTTAACTTAGAAACAAAGTAATCATTATAAGCAAGTGGTGAATTTCTCTAGTGGTTAGAGTATTGCTCTTCAACGTAATGTGTTGCCATTTCAAATCGTCCCACTCTCTTTAGTGTAAATTAGTGTAAAATATTATTTTTGATAAAAAAAAAGTAATAATACATTACAATTATTGTGTAATTCTCTTTCCTTATAGTTATATGATTCATTATGTTTAAAAGGAGACTTACATTTACCTGTAGAGCAAATTCTACTAGGATAGTATTATTCACACACTTTTTTTTTACTTGCACACACCTTTGTTTTTTCAATATTCTTCTTCAATTCATTCGATCCGACGATCGAAAATTGAAAGGGATAGGTGAAATAAAAATGGGTGTGTGGATTAGCACTACCCATTCTACTACCCAATGTTAAAAATAGCCATTACTTTTAACTAGTACATACATCGTACATCTAAAAAGCTTCATTATGTTTAGCTCCGTGTATATATAATAAGATGGAATCGAAAAAATATGACTTTATCCCTTGAATTTTTTTTATTTAAAACACACAATAGTATTTTTTTTTTCTTAACAAAAAACCCAATGACTAGTGTCCGACTAAGCAGATTCATTAATTAAGTTTGACTTCACTTAATTTGTATCTTCGGATGCCTATAATTCCCCTAATGGCATTTTGACCTTGGGTTTATAACTTATTATCTACATTTATTATACAACTTATTACCATTAAATGTATGCATAATGCATAAACTTATGTGAATTGAAAAATATATTCAATGTCATGATTCATTTGAATGTTTATGTAAAAAAGTGGGTTTATGTAAAAAAAAATTAACTCTATAAATTAAGTGTCTGTGTTAAATAAGAAAAATTCTCATTCCAGCATCATATAGTGTAACACTGCAGGTAGACTTTGTACGAAAAATTCGCTTCGAAATCAGAATTACAGTCAACAAACACATTTTATTTCAATCTCACCCACATATAATACACATCTCACTCTCACCTATAAATCATGGATTTAATTTTATTCTTTTATGGTTTTTAATCTCTTTTTCTGGATTTCTCCTTTCCTTTATGCATGTATCCCTCGCCCTTATTGCTTGCCTCATTTTGTTTTAGTTTGCAGATGTCATCATGTTTATGGAGGTTTTGGTTGGATTTGATTTTGAATAAGTTAGGATTCCTTACGTATGAGCATCGGTTATATTTTTTGAAAAAGGAAAAAGATATAATTTCAGGGCCATGCAAGAAAAACAAAATACTCGAGTTTCAGTTGCTCGGAAAACTCAGAATTCTAGATCAGCACGATCACCAAATATTAATGTTCAGAACGGTTCGTCCCTGCGGTCATGAAAAGTCTTCAGGGGAAATATATGATGTAGTATTTGGGCTTAGTTGATCAACTTTTGAAACTCTGGATACTTCATCAGCCCCGCCGCTGACTAATAATGTTCAGAATCATGAATCAGAGTGATTTTGTGTTCCGTAAAAAAAGTTAGTATAACAGTCTGGCAATCAACTTTAAAGCTATGAATGCTTCATCATAGTATTAATCTATATCCAGCATATGTTGTCCGTTTGGTATTGAGTATAAACTTAAAAAGCTTTTAGTTTTAGTACGAAGTTGTTTTACGTAACATGCATGCAAAGTAATTTTTTTCAATATCATCGTATGTATATATGTTATTTCTCGTGAAACTAACCCCAGTTGCAGATAATTCAACATGTATATATAGAGGAGTAGAGGTGCATGGAGTTCGGAGGGGGCACGTTCTCATGCTCAATGTTTTTGAAACAAAGTAATACATTACAATCATTGCATAATTCTCCTTCCCGAGTAGTTAGATGAATCATTATGTTAAGAGACGACTTATATAATTATATTCACCTGCAAGAGCAAATTTTATTACCATAAGGCGTCGTTTGATGTTTAATTAAGATTGAATTTGCTTAAATAACTCATTAAATTCAATGAATATTGAATGAAAATATGAATGCCAACTTGAAGTGAAGCTAGCTAACTCAGTTGCGATAGGTCAAAAGACTGAAGATGCTTGGTATGGAAAATACATTATCCACTTCCAAGTAGCAAAGATTGTTTGGTAATTTCGCCTTTGGATGCGCCTTCTTGCCTTTTTGATTTGTTTTACATGACACATGTGTTGGAAATGTGCCCTAAAGCCAATCATGTGATGATACTTTACGGACATTTCACATGTTAAACTAATCTAGTTTTACATATAAAGGGCAAAGATTATTGTTTGAGCCGTCTCATATAAATGTTATATGCTTAAACGATAAAGTCCAAGGAATATGTAATTGGGAGAATGTAATCTAATGAAGTTAGATTCATGAGACCATTCTTTCGTAGACACATCCTAAATGTTCCTGATCATAGGATTGTCAATTGGGCATTGATAGTCCGTTAAGATCGGTACGTACTATGTCTTCTCTCAGGGAGAGTGATTAGTCTCGAGTCATTGGTGTGTGTGACATCAAGACAAGTACGTAGGTGCTCAATAGAGAATGAGTACACTGAACGTGATCAACGAAGAGTTCTCATATTCCATGTCACATGAGAACTCATGGTTGGGATAATGCAAAGTAGTCCTTTGACCTGAGGCATCACAGTTGTCTTGTGGTTAAGTCCTTGATCTTTGATTATGTCAAAGTCACCCCATCGGGGTGTCCACGGCATCGTTGGGGTTAAGCCACTTAGCTATGGAGACAAGTGAATGCGCAACAAGGGATCTCTAACCTTCAAACAGTTTGAGGGAGAATACTCTATGATATGATTTAGAATCTCTGGCCAGAGTATGAATGAGATTTAGGGAATGCGTTCCAAATCACATTCAAGGTAAATCATATAAGCACAAGATTCACATTGGATAGTAGACATGAACAAATAAACTATCAAACCAAACAATGTGGTCAAGAGTATTAGATTAGAGAAAGACCGTATTGCATTTGTAATCCCGAAACTGAATAGGTTCTCTAACCTCTTCTGATTAGCTTGGGTAACCATGACATGCTGCTAGGTGTCACTCATGGTTTGTGGAAGCCCTAAACGTGTGTAATCACTAAAGGGAGAATTGAAAATAAGTTTCAATTCACAATCGATGTAAAATGGTTTTAATCGCCCACTGCCTCGCTAAAAGGAACCTAATGGATCGCACACCATAAAAGGTAGAGATTGGAAGATTAAAACGGAAATGAGTAAGAATGATTAAATGGTTTAATCATTTATTTATGGCAAGGATTAATTAATATGTTAATTAATCAAACGAATAAGTTCGTTAAAGACCTCGGGGATAGTTTTGGACCTTAAGGCCCAATGGGCTTCGAACGTCAAGCCCATTAACTTAAGTTGTATGACAATTTTAATGAATAAAGATTCATTAAAGCCCAAAAGCCCAAAATTCCTTAGGTGGCCGGCCATATGGTGATGAATTAGGGTTTTGGTTATTTAGGTCACTTAAAGAAGTGACTATATAAATGACTTTATAGCCAAATATTCATTAAGGATTAAAAGGGTTTATTTTTGGGGAAAATTGGTGAGAATTGTTTCTCCATTTTTCTCTCTAAAGAGGCCAACACCTTGGAGGGTACATCTAGCAATCCTACTACTCCAAGGTCACTCATTTCTTCTACAATCTAACCTTGGTGAAGAGACTTAGAGGTTCTCAATTTTGGGAACTTAGAGAACCTATTTTTCCATCCAAATCCATGGATCTAAGAAGCAAGGAATGAAGGCCCTATCTCTTTGGGTGATTAGCCTTTGCTTATGCAAAGAGGAATCCACAAAGGTAAAAATTTCAACTCACTTTGTTTTGAGTTGATTATTGGTTCACCAATCTACTAGGCTTTGAATTTCATGGTAATGTTTTGTTTTTGGGTGCATACAAGCATGATTCCGCCTTTAATTGTTAATTGCATGCTATATGATGTTGCTCAAATGAACATGTTTTTCAAAATAATTCCTTCAACATGTGCGCAGGGCCTTTTTTTCCTCAATTAAAAATACAAATATTTTATTTATCATGAAACCGTCTCCATTGCAAATACTCTAG